ATGTGCAATGTAGAACCTCTAAACAGACGTCTTGGTTTAAAGGTTGTCACATTGCTGGGTTTGATTTTTTTAGTGCTCGTACAAGTCACTAAAATGTACAGGACTGAGAGGCTGCTCTGGTCGTGTGCTCTGCTGCAAGGTCACTCAGCAATGACTTCCAGTCATACCATTTTCAGTTCACCTCAACCCTGTGAAATCACCTCCTTAAATTAAATTTAAAAAAGACAGCCCTGCAGTTTCCTTCCTCCTGGAGCCTGCACAGCATATTGCTCCCTACACATGCAATGACTGCAAATGTCTGTCACAAACAATTAATAAAACAATAAAATCAAGACTTGACTTAGAAAGTGGAAGGGAGAAGATTTTCCTCATCAGATTTCTACCTCTTTTCCATCCAGCATGTAGCAGACAGTATCTAATAATTGTCCCCGTTAAGGATGACTTCGGACAGAGCAGGTTATAAAGATAACTGTTGGAAAATGAAAGGGCTGTGGAGAGGAGACTTTGCTGGTGGGTGGGAGTGCAGGAGCCACCAGTGGAGAGCAGGCATTGCCAAGGGTGTAAGAAGAGCAGGACCTACAGGCTGGGAAGAGAGGCAGCATAGAGCGCCTAGAGCAGGAGAGCACGTTGGGAGAGAACAGCTTCCTGCAGGATTTGAGTTGAACCCCCAGGTCCATGACTTCATTTGTTTGCTCTCAGGGATGGTGACTCATCTCTGCAATGGCTAGGGCTACCTGAGGACAGTGGCTTGCTCTCTCTTACTTTATTGTCTCACATACTGGTAAGCTGAAGACCTGGACCTGCCCGATGAGCCTAACTGTGGTCAGGAAGGTGTGTACAACAGAAATGTCATTATTCGTTTCAAAAGAAAGGAAGTTTACTGTGTTAAGAAGTTCACTAGGTTGCAATGCCAAACTCTCAAAGTTAGGCAGTGGCAGAAGAATTCTTCAGAATTCATTGTAGCCTTCCAGTAGTTAAAGGGGGGCCAAAGGAAAGATGGGGAGGGATGCTTTATCAACAAGTGTAGCGATAGGATGAGGGGTAATGGTTTTAAACTAAAAGAGCATAGATTTAGACTAGATAATTAGGAAGATATTCTTTACTCTGAGGGTGGTGAGGCACTGGCACAGGTTGCCCGGAGAAGTTGTGGATGCCCCATCCCTGGAGGTGTTCAAGGCCAGGTTGGATGGGGCTTTGAGCAACCTGGTCTAGCAGGAGGTGTCCCTGCCCATGGCAGGGGGGTTGGAACTATATGATCTTTAAGGTCCCTTCTAACTCTAACCATTCTATGATTCTCTGAATGAGCATATACATTATAGAATTATGTCATCTGAGAGCAGCTGTATGAATTTTAATTTCAACACTATTTACACTACGTTATGTTGGGGAAATATATGTAAGAAATAGATAACAAGTATATATTGTTCATAATTTTTCAGTTGCTAGCTTTATGGCTTGAGCTTTCTTTCAGTCGAGGTTTCTGGTGTGCACAAGTATAGTGCTTATAGCACGTGACGGGCTATAGGTGTAGGTGAGCCCAGTATTCCTATATTTGTAAACAGCAGAAAATGCTTTGCACTGAACAATGGGAAGCTGATTTTATGTAAAACCAATAAGCAGTCTGAGTTAGATTACTGTAACACAAAGTAATGTGAGAATTAAAATTCATAATCTTATAACTACTTTCCAGATTACAATGTGTTTTCATAATTACAGCCATGAGAGAGGACCTTTCCCTGTTGGGTAGTTTTGCTTACCTTTTTATTGGCATTCTTAAGATCTAATTTGCCAGAATCCAGAGATTGGTTTCTACTAACTTGACTCTGAAGTGCAATTGAAATAAATCAGTTCTTCAGAATTAGGAAAAGGGAAGCTGAAAATTAAGTAATAAGTATGTCAAAAAACAAATATGCGTTCTACCAACAACTGAAAGGGAAATTCAGAATGCTTTATCTTGCTTCTTAAGTGGAATTATACAAAATAATAGAAATTGATTAAGATAGTAAATACACTCTTGAAAATCGCTGGGTTACTTATTTCCAACTAATTCAATTTTCAAAGAGTTTATTTCCTAATATTAAGTTTTGGTGATTTATTTTTTCCCTTTAAAAAATAAGAGGAATTTTGGGTTCCGAGGAAGCATGTAACAAACTTATCCCGAACTCCACAATTCGCTTCCTGAGCCTGCTGTCACTTGAAGTTGTTTGGAGAGGATGACACCTGTGGGGCAGTAGGCCCACCTTGTTCCATGGGAACTTTTGTCTGATGTAGTCCTTAGGAATGAAACCGTGAAGGCTGAGGGACTTGGGTCTTTTTAGTCGAGAGAAAAGAACACTGACTGGGGATCTTATTAATGCTTATAAATACTTAAAGGGTGGGTGACAGGGGATGGGAACAGTCTTTTTTCAGTGGTGCCCAGTGATAGGACAAGAGGTAATGGGCACAAACTTGAATATAGGAAGTTCGATCTTAAGATGAGGGGGAACTTCTTTACTTTGAGGGTGGCAGAGCACTGGCACAGGCTGCCCAGGGAGGTTGTGAAGTCTCCCACTCTGGAAACATTCAAAACCTGTCTGGACACTGTCCTGTGCAACCTGCTGTAGGCAGGGGGGTTGGACTAGATGATCTCCAGAGGTCCCTTCCAACCCTGACCATTCTGTGATTCTATGATTCTGTGATTCTATGATTCTGTGATTCTATGATTCTGTGATTCTATGATTCTGTGAAGTGGCTTTAGCTAAAAAGAAAGGAGAGAATGAACTGGAAAGCCTGTCTGCTTCCTTCTCCCCGGAGTCCCTACTGTTCTCACATTTCACACAGATGAGGGGGTCAGTTTTTGCCATCTCTTACTCCTCACCTCATTTCTCTTGGTCTCGTATTGCCTGGAGTGTTACACTTAGAAGGATGAGCAGAAAAATGCGAGAGGGGCAATTCTTCACTTACAGCAGAAATTAGCAGTTAAAAGCAAGACAGGCAGATTGAGGTAGAGGTTGGAAAAGTATTTCTCAATAGGGTGGATCAATCAGCCTCCGGTTTGGATTGAAACCGGGAACTGAGCCAGATACTCCTAAAGCCCCTGTACGAGCCACTGATGCCCCACAGCTTCATCCTGTATAATCTGTAGCCAGTGTTTTGATTATTAGCTATTAACTTGCATTGCAGATTAGTGGTTGGTGAAGCACATGTGTTGATCCTTAATCTTTGCAACCTGACCCTATGCTGAAACCCAGCTGATTTTTAAAACCTGTAGAGAAGGTAGTGGTGGTGGTGCCAGGGAACAGAGGAGGGGCTCACGGCGGGCATTACTCTCAGCTGTATGGGCAGGACTGAACTAAACCGTAACACTGTGATCCAGCTGCAAAACACGCACCAATTCCACCCAGAAGACTGCGACAAACCATGCTTGTCTTGGGTTGATACTGAGTCATGAGAGATAAAAATACCTTTGCTGCAGGAGGGAGAGCGGTTGTGGTGCGGCAGCCCGTGGCAAGGGAAGGGGGGGGCTGTGCTCTGGCTAGTGGCACACAGAGAGGTCCTCTGGAGCCCTATGTGTTGGGACGGTTGTCACCCCCATGGTGTGAATTGCTGCCATAATAAGTCAGAATAAAGGTCCGTTTTTGCAAGTCTCTGACAAGGACTGTTCACAAATGCTTGGAGGCACTAGAAGAAAAAAGACAGGAGTTGAGTGGTCATGGTGTGTGTCCCCCCCGGCCGTCGGCGTGCAGCCGAAGAGAGGTGCTCTGGGTGGATGTGGCGTGGTCTGCCCTGGTCCTTAGTCAGCCCCTTACACTTTGACCCCACTGCATCCTGCGGCAACGCTTTAATGATGCTGCTGTGAAATGTCATTTCCTTTGGCTTGTGTGAGGGGTAGCGAGGATCAGGTTGTCCTGTGTGCATTTCATCACCAGTCGCATCACTCCAAACAGCAGATTTCAGTCTGATTTAAGACTGTGTGTCATTCACCTCCTGTTGATAGTCATAAACCCCTATGAGAGGGACCACAGCAATGCAGCGTTTGGGTCTTTGGTGGAAGGGGTGAGGTGGTGAACTTTTGGCAGCATTTGTGTTCACTACTGGCTGATACACGATGTGAGTGTGATGAGCCTCTTTTTATATGAAAGGCATTGAAAAAATATCATTTTAAAGGAAGGGCGATGAGCATCAACGCTTACGTTAACTCCTTACCTCCTGGTCCCCAATCGCTGTCAGGTCGGGGGGGAGGGGGGGGGTCGGGGACAGC